GACATCCAAGAAGCCAATTTATTCTCCCGCATGAGTTAGTCGGTCAAAAGTAAAACAGTAAGACCCCGGGATGATCGTAACCGGTGGTTAAAGACTCTGAGTGATATGGCGGAGTGTCTTGAACAATGGGGTTCGTGTATCTTCTCAGTTTCTTCGCAACCTTAGTCCACTGAAATTCTCCATCTTCTAGTCGCCTCTATTTCAGTTTTCCTGTCTGTCTCCGATTCTTCATCCAAATGGGTAACTGAAAGGCAGCATCAAAGCTGGCGCACGAAAGTGCATGGTTAGTGGTTGTAAAAACTTAAACTGAAAGTAGATTGCCCTCCAGAGCCTTTCCCACTGATAACCTGCGCATCTGCGTGTGCCGTGCGGAGACTGTTTTCACGAGGTGCTTTCACTCCGGAATGTAATCCGCATAAGAAGACTGTTTGCAATCTAGTATCGAATCGTTGATCATGCAAAAGATAAAACTTTATCTTACAACACAACAAGCCGCCAATCTGTCACGGTTGCCTAGTAGTTCATCAAAATAGCCTTTAACAAAAACTCCTCTTTAACGTTTTCAGTTCTGCTTCTCCATTCTTTTCTCTTCTTTTTCCTTTCATTTTTACTTCCTTTTATTGAATACACAATGATACAATTCTCAGGAAGGGAGAAGCGGCCAATCGAAGGGCTGCCATACAACACACATGGGGGAAGTCAGGCGGTGGTGGTGGGATTCGAACACTCGTCCTCCGGGGTGATAATTTGTTGACGTTATCACCGGGCCACCACCGCCCTTAACCAGAACTTCAACTTTCGAGCCCCCTCAAACAAATTAAAACCATGGATCCTTTGCTTACCTGCCTCTCTACCCTGTCTCCCGACAATTTTTTTCCTGGGGTTTTGTACTCTTAAAGGTTCTGTGCTCAAATAAACCTACTTGTTTTCAGTCACTGTTCTTCTACTATCAAAAAATCATTCATTCGTCCCCCGTGTTCTCTGTTTCCCCAGTTTTCATTTCATCTTTCTGTACTCCTCCATAACTTCATTATCATTGTTTTGCATTGGCACCATGCTTGTTCTCTAGCGGTGTGCCATATATATATACCATTCTTCCACTGTTGATTTCATTCGCTGAGGGACGTTCACCAAAGTAAAAGCCCGTCCCTACAGCAAAGTATCTGAGTACATAAAGAGCAGTCCAATTTTGGTTATGGTTTTTTATAACACATAGTAGTATGATGAATAGCGGATGGTGAAAGCCCCATAGTCACGAGGGTCTGCTGTTCAGTCGTGGAAACCGGTAGCCTGAATCCCGGGATTTGAATTGACAAATAACATAAGGCCCTGCTTGGTTGGTTATGGTATGGAACCGGACGACGGCAAAGCCACCTAACACCGGTGGCGGTAGTAGTGGCGGGGCTCTAGCCTGGGACCGCAGGGTTCAGAGCACGTCGATGTCAGCGCCTAAACCACTGGTACCGTCTCAATTAAAGTACCCCTCCAACTCCCAACGTTTTACGAGTAACACTTATTTGTGATATTCGAATAGCCGTCTATCGCTTATACTTGTAACCCACCAATTTAATGCCTGCATTCTCTTTTACCTGTTATAATCTCACTATGTTTTCCGTCATTCCACTCTTTAACGACCCCACTTACCGTCATCCTTAATTCAGTCGGGTG